TTGTAAATTCAATGCCTCAGCGTTGTAGGGAGGTTATTGAAAAAAATGGTGAACGAATATCGTATTAATTTTTTTTTTAATAAATTTACTACTTCTCAGCTTTAAAATGACGCATTAAACATTTTAATTGATGCAATACTTGTGAACCTATCGTGATTTTAAAAAGTTCATTTTTTTTGCACATCACTATATATTATCTATTTAAGGCCAAATTTTCTCGTGTTTTTTTACTACAAAAATAATTCATATAAATATTACACGTAACATCCATTCAAAACATCACTTAATTAATCTTAAAACAGGAAATGAAGAAAGAAAAATGGACACTATTTACCCCTTAAACAAAAAAAACTTGATTTTAGTATTACGGAAAGTGGGGTTTTTGAACTTTTGGTTAATATACCCCAGAATTTGTTTCAAGTAATACATAATATTTATGGATGATCGCTGAGAGATTTGATTTTGATTTTGTCTTTTCACACTTAAAAAGATAATAATAGCAATAACAAATATAGACCAGTATCCTAGCGATGTTACAACCAACACAAATAATCATCATAATTCCACATTGCCTATGAATATAGATAGAAAAAGAACTATAAATTCACATTCGCAAACGCCAGCATGTTCAGAGAATCAAAATACTTCACAATCTTGTTCACCACTTTTAAATGATCAGAGTGGAGAAAACCTTGTAGCAATTAGTATTGAATTACAAGAGTTATATAAATGTTATAATTTGATTAAAGAAGACAATAAAAATTTACGGGAGAGGTTAAAGGAATCTGAAGAAACTGTTAATGCGTATGGAAATGCTAGTATCAAAAAAGATGAAATTCTTAAAAATAAAAATTATAAACTTCTTGAAATTCAAAAGAAATTGTTTAAGCAAAGTTTCGATTATGAACTCAAATTAAAAGAACTTAATCCCTATAAATCAAGAGTTGAAGAAAAATTACGTATTGTTAATGAGTTATAAAAAGAGATTAAAGAACTTTGAGATGAAAAGAATTCTATTAGAAATAAAAATTCAGAATAGAAACAAAGTTTTAACAATCAAAAAGTTACTTTACATCAATTGAAATAAGACAAGGAAAAACTTAAATCAAGATGTAATGAAATAAATCAACAATTAAAAGAAAAAAAATCTCAAATCTGAGTGTTAAAACAAAAGAATATCGAATTAGAAGATGAGGCATAAGCTATCAATCTGCTCTTAGAGTTGCAACAAATTTTAAATTAAGTAAGAATGATTAAAATCATACAGTTCAATATAATGAAAATATTTTAGCATTACATAATACTTTAGAAAATTATGTTATGAACTTGAAACTTAAAATAGACGTTAATGTGAAAGAAGCAAAAAAGCTTTTAATTGAGTATAGAAGTCAAGTCAAGATTTCTAATAAAGACCTAAATAAACCACTTATTAAAGTTGTTTTACAGCATCATATACTTTAAGAAATTTTTAAATATGTGGATAAATATTTTATACATTCAAGTAAAGATTATTACCTTGAATCAGATATTATCATAAAACCTAATGGGTTAATTAAACTAATAAAATGATTTTGCAATACGTATATTGGTAAGAATAAAATAACTCAAGTTACGCCTATAAAATTATATCAGCAAATTTATGCTACGCTTGATACTCAAGGGTTTAGCAATATCAAAAAATCTGATAGAGATTCTATACATGACTATATACGTAATATCTCAAACAAAATTAATGAAATGATGAATATTTATTGTATTATTAAAAACATAGATAAAAAAGTATGTAGATGCATTAGCAGAAGATTTAATTCAAAATATTTTTAGAATTTTTTATTTTCATTTTAATATTCAAAAACTGAAAACTCTATTTTACTAGTTTAAATATAATGAGAAAATTGATAAATCCTAAATGAAAGGTAGCTGGGGAAAGATAAGAATAATTTGTTATTGAAATTTGTTTTTTCTGCTAATCTATTCAGATATAAACAGTTTGAAAACTTATACCTCTATAAAGGTCTTATCAGTTCATGTCTCAATAGTCTTGCTTTAAAAACGCATATTCTAATAATCGCAATTGTATAATCATTAAATTCAGAAGAAATCTTTTTATTTATTTATTTATTTATTTTTTTTATTTTTTTAAAAAAACATTTAAAAAATAATCAAATTTATAAAAGTTTAACAAAAAAAAAATTAATTTCATTTACCATTAATATGAGTAAAACCTGAGTAAAAAAATCAAGTTTCTAATAATTAGAGACAGTTATTTTTATAACTTTAGTCAATTTCTGAAGGTAATCAGTAATAGCTTTTTTATAATTAAGTCTATGAAGTAAAAGAGGTTTGTTTTCTATTTTTTCTAATGAAGTTTAAATCTTTTTACAAGTTTAGAAGTAGCATTTCTATTTCTCCTAGTTGGTCATTCTGCTAATGCTGGGAACTCCTATACTTTAAGATTCTCAAATCCTTTATCATATAATAATACTATTAAAGTTTTAAACTATCCAGTAAATACTGACCAATCTGTGTTTACAAAATTTTTACCTGAAGCTTTTTATATACATATGTGAAACTCTTAAAATAATACAAAGTATAAGATTAAGATATATAATTTATATACTAAAAATCATTAAATAATCATAACGTACTGAATAAGTAATTCTGAAATCTATAAGAAAGAATTTTAGCAGTTATGATAATAACGCAAATATTACACAAATGAGATTAAAATATATTATTAATATATTGATACCAACAATAATACGATAGTCAAAATTTTTATTGCCATTTTCACTCATCATATATTATGATCATCTTGTAAAAAATTTAGGAAATAATGTAAAGTTTTATTAAAAGTTGATCAAGTCATATGATGTATTCCTATTTGAGATCTTTTTTTTTTTTAACATAATATATTGAACAAATTTGAAAATCTTTTTAAATAATGAAGTTTTTTTTTTTTAAGATAATAATCAAACTTTAATAATTTTCCAAGTTCTGCAAAAGAATTTATAATGTGATATTAAGATGGGACTAAATGTATCACTGATAAGAAAAATATGTACGTAATTATTTGTAATAATTAATAAATGCATTATTATTTTTTATTATTTTTTCAAAGTTCTTGTCATATATCAAAATGGCGTATATCTTGATAATTTTTGAATAAAATAATGCGTCAATGTATTCTTTTTTTCACAAGTTTTCTATTATATCTTCCTAGTAAAATTTTAAAATTTAAAGTTAATATTAATTAGATTAACTAACTATTGTATATATTTTTCAAGAAATTTTTAAATAAAAAGAATCATTACCTTTTTAAACAATGAATAAGATAACAAAAAGAGACATTTAAATATGCATTGTTAATCAAAAATTAAAGTATGTTTAATATAAATAAAAGATAAAAATGGATAGATCATCTAAAATTAACATCTAATACTTATCAAATTAAATGTGAGAAAATTTTTTAAATAAAAAAGGAACTATTGTTCTTTAAATAATGAATCCTTTTTTTTAGTTTGAAAGAAACTTTAAAAATATCAACCTTTCTTATCATACAAATTTAATGAAAAAAAAATGTCAGTAATTTATGTAATTAATGTATTGTTATTTTTATTAATGAAGCTTTTTTTAAAAAAATAATGGTTGTATGAGAAGTCATAAAATTATTATGTACAAATAAGATAAAACTACATGATAGAAAGATTTAGAAATAGTAATCACTTTAAAATTTTTAAATTAAAATTTTAATGAATTTTAATTTAATGTATTGTATTCCTAATAATTAATTAACTAAATATAAAAATATCAGGAATTTTTAATGAGACAAAATACTAGTAATGCATGTCAATCAATGTATTATAAGAAAATCTTATTTTTATTAAAAAAGTAAAAAAAAAAAATTATTCTTTAGTCAATAAAGTATTATTTTGTAATATAATATTTTACTTGATTATATAAATGTGACTTTAATATAATGAGAAAATTTGTTGATACATTTAAGCTATTGATCAAATTAATAAACTGTGATTATTGAAATTTCTCAAAAAAAATTTATTACATTAATACAAGTCAAAAATTTTTAAATAAAAAGAAATCATTATTCAATTAAACAATGAAGTTTATTTTTTTTAGCAATTACAAAATCTTCAAGAGATTCTTATCATGTATTAATAGTGATATGAGATATTTTTTAAAGTAATAAGACCTTCTCATAATAAGATATTCCAAAGAATAGGAATTTAAATTTAAAGATAAAATGCATTTTAATAAATTATGAGAAAATTTTAAAATAAAAAAAGAATCATTTACCATTATTTTGCAAGATAAAAAATTTCTCTTAATATTATTATTATAAAAATTTTAATATTACAATTCTTGATTGTCATGCATTTTATAAAAAAAAATTGGATCATTCTTTAAATAATAAAGTTTTTTTTTTACAAGGTTAATCTGTAAGGGTATATTTAATTTTTTTTATCATAAAAAACATACATAAATTACATCATATTAAAAATATAATACATCTTTTGGAAGTGCAGTGATTTTTATAAGGTAAACTACTTTAATAGTTTCTCAAATTTCTGTAAAAAATTTTAAATATAATATATATAGTATTAAAGTCAATTGTAAAAATTCTATATAATCATTTAAAATGTTCCTAATGTCATATTACGTATATAAGGAAATATCAAAAAAAAATTAATATAAACTTAAGAAAATCTTAGCAACTTAGCTTTATCAGAAGTAATTTTTTGACTCAAAAATTATGCAATCAACAAGACAATATAATATATCATTGCATCATTATAATAACTTTGTTCAAGCTCGTTCAATAAATTCTCAACTGAATAATAATAAAACTCATTAAGTAATAACTCCAATGTATTATAATAATAAAAATATCATTAACAACACTCGTCAAGTTAACTAGCAACAGCATAATAATATTTTTAATAAGGCTATTATTACAGAATTTAAGCAAAAAATTTTATCAACGAGCTTGAAAAATAAAGGAAATTCTTCAAAATAAAGTTCAAAAAATAAATTAATATAAATAATTAAATGAAGAAAAAATCCTAAAATTTGAAAATAAAGAGATAAATCATTATAAAACACTTGCTCAAAAGTCTGAAAATAAAATCAAAGTAATTAATGAATTAATTCAAGAATTCATTCATTATAAATTATTATATAAATAGAAAGATAATAATTACAACAAATTATAAGAAATGCATAAAATAATCATGCAAAGACTAGAAAATGAACATAGAGAAATAAATCATTATAAAAAACTAGCTCAACAGTCAGAAAATGAAGTCAAAGTGATTAAAGAACAAATTTAAGAATTAGATTGCTATAAAACACTTACTCAACAGTTTGAAAATGAAGTTAATGCAACTAAAAGACAAATTCAAAAATTAAATCAATATAATTATTATATGAGCAGAGCAATAACAAATTACAAGAATTATAAGTAAATTACAAGAAGAATATATAAAGACTAGAAATGAAAAAAATCAATATAAAGTTCTTGCTAAAAGTCAAAAAAGGATACTGAAACAATCAAGGAATAATTCAAAACAATCAAGAAGCAATATTTAAAGAAAGTACAAAGATTATAGAATAGAATTAACTCACAAGAAGGAAATTTATAACAATTAGAAAAGGAAAAAGTTGAATTAGATAAGTTGAAACTAAGGATATATAATTTAGAGGATGAAATTAAAGACCTTATTAAAAAAATACTTTATTAGAAGATGAAGTGTCAAGTTATCAATCTGTTCTTAGTACAGCTACAAATTTTCAATTAAGTGACGATGATAAAATTATATTGTGAAATTAAATAATGATATTGCAGATCTCAGTAATAATTTAAAAAATTATGTAACAAATTTAAAGCAAAGTATCATTGTTAATATGAAAGAAGTTAGAAAGCTTGATTACATTATAAATGTTTAACTGGAATTAAATATCAAAAATCTAGTAGATTATTGATTCAAGCAGTTTTGCAACGTCACGTCATCGAAATAATATTCGCAAATGCTACACAATATTTTCATGTCTCTGGACGTCAACAACTTGAACATCTTGAATCACAAATTAGTAATAAAGAAATTGAGCTGTCCAAATTATTAAATTACGCCTCCAAATATCGTATCGGGAATGATGAAATAACTCGTGTCGCATCAATAAAAATTGCGATAGCAAATATATTCAATTCTTAGTAACCGCGGATTTGAGGATACGTCCAGAGAAAACAATACCGTATATGAGCACGCTTTCATCACTCAATGTAAACAACAACTAAACGACATTATGAACGGACTGCGTACTATCAATGATAAGCAAAAGAAATCAGATTCCGAAAAATATGCCGTGACTATCATTCGCGAGGTTGTAAAGATATTTTACTTTAGATTGAAAGTTCAAGAACCTGTTGTACAACATAATTGGTCTTCGTATAATGCTAAATTAGATAAAATATTAATGGAATGAATTTCATATGACAGTGATGATAAGAATTTATACGTTGATTTATGTTATTTTCCTCTAATTGGAAAAGATCTTATGTCAGAAGATCGAAAAGTCTATACACTTGCAAAGGTCGTTATACGGAAAGCTCAAGTTGAAGTGCAAAAACCTATTGCGGAAAATTCATATGGTAGTATGTATGCTCTATAATTGTTCGACTAGTGTAACCAATATGTTCCGAGAAGGAAATCACGCGAATTCTACCGATCGACTTTGTTTAAATATAAATTATTATTTTTCAAACTTGTAGATTTTATTTAAATAAATATAAATGAATAAAGTGCAACCCAATTATATATAACGTTAATGTCATATTTACAATATTATTTTAAAGAATGATAAAGTTCTAAAAGGATATTCGCTATACTTAATTTATTTAAATTTATATATAGTGGAATATTTGCCATAAATTTTGCGTTGTAGAATTTAAATATGTGGATGTTTTACTAAGGCCATGCAACTTCGATTTTTCGGTTCATGTCCGGGTCACTTTTTCAAATTAACAAAAAAAAGTTTATATGAAAAGTTTATCATGTGACTATAAAGTGTAATTTTATTGGTAGATTAAAGCTTTATTGTATTATCGTTGTGTTATGTATCATTCCTTTCTTACAACTCATTAGTTTCATGCAGCTTCCCAAGCAATACATTGTGCTGAAATTTTTTCTCCAACTAATGTTTTTGATAGACTAAACTTAACTTCAAAATCTGCTTCCCACCAGTCAGGTGATAAATATATAATCGATATATTTCCAAAAAAATCTTTTATTTTGTATAATAGGCATTTTTGACGGAGTTAAGATGATTTTGAAATGAAATGTGATTGTCGTATGATTAGGCCGGGCAAAAAAAATTTTAGATAAAATTTTAAAATTGACACGGTCACCCGTTTATTTTTTTCTTGTTCATATGTAAGTATTACACAAATACTGTAAAGGTAAATCTTTCTTTCGTCGCTTTCTTTTAAACAAAATCTGATATGCCGATTTTATTATGTAAGGTCACATGACAAAAATTTTACTATAAAAAAAAATATCTACGGCCCTTAAAGATTGACCAATCAGATTATATAATATTTATATATAAACTTTTTTTATTAATCATTTATTTGCATTTGAAGAAGTAATATCTATTGTTCAGATTTTTCAAAATATCATAAACTGTACTTTTAGCAATAAGTTTTTTAACATTCTTTTTTTTTTTTTTGAGCTAGTGATATTATTTTTATTTTCATCTTTAAAAAAGAAGCGGAAAATATCGAGGATTTGTTTATATGTATGTTGGTTCCAAGACAATAATGCCAACTCCGAGTCAAATTATCGAGACCGCCTGTATAGATGACGTGTCACCTGAGAAAAGTGTATACAATAATTTAAAAAGAATGTACCATATTCCAAATCATATATCACACAAAGAGCATTTTATATATTAAAAATTTTTTAAATGCAATATTACAAATAAACAGTATATCTATCTAGTCAATGAAAATAGAAATTAATAAAAAATGACAGCAATTTCAATTTAAAGCCCCATAAAATTTGATTCACTATGCCCTAGGAAATGGGAAATTAGAGTGATAATCCTTGTTCACAAAAGAATTAATCAATACAAATCGTTATTTTAATACGATTACAATATAACCAAAGACTAGAACTGTGAAATAAAGATAAATTATATAAAATGATTGCCACAATGAAATCAAAACTTCAAGGAACAACATTTAAAAAATGACAATTTGCAATAAATAAATGAATATATATATTAATTTAGAAAATCAAATTGAAGGCCTTATTCAAAAAATATTCAATGGAAGATAAAGTTAATAAAAGTGCGTTTTCCACACTCAAACACTGATTTTATAAATGTTCAATTGACACTATAGCGAAAAAATACAACGCATCACAGAAATAATATTCTAATGTTTTTAAATATTTTCATTTGAATAAAAATGTTGGCTAATACATTGCGACTCCGAATTTCGTCCGGTAATGATGACGTAACACGCGTCGCTCACAAAATACGTAGGAACTGATAATGATAACCAACAGAAATTGTAACTATCAAGATCCCGGAACGCATCATAATTGGTTTGTATAAATGCTATTGATTTTCAGGATTGGTCACACATCCGATCCGAGCATAATACGGAATAATAGATTGACAGTAGAATAAATACGTGGCACAATTTCTTTTTCGAAAACTCCCGCGTTTGTATACTTAAGATTTGATTTCTATTATAAGCAATCATTAGTTATCGTGAAAATCTTCAATTGGCACAACATTGAAACCAAAATTAAAGTATATAACAAAATTTTATTATAAAAATATATAAATATAATCATTATACATATAAATGAAAAAGCTATAGAAGATTTTAAAGGTCTAAGTTAAAAGTGGTTTCATATTTTACTCCAGTTTGAACATTTTGAGCTGTAGCTTCAATTTCAATACTACCAAAAGTTAAAGTAAATGCGATCGACCTTCCTTCGTTGTTATATGTCGTTGGTACATTAACACTCCAATTATCAAGTAAGTAAACGCCGGTCTCGTCACAGTAATTTGCATCCACATCCTCTGTAACGTATAAATCCAAACCTATGCTGGTTTGTTCATTGCTATATGGAACATATACTCTTGCAACTTGATGATTAATATCTACTTTTTCACCACGTCTTGCCAATCGGTCGAAAATTCTAATTTTTCCATCTGCACGTCTACGATCAATTGGATCCAAAAGTGCCCATTGTCGAATGACGTCGGTTCCTATGATTGGAATTTTTTTTTTATTGAAAAATACTTGTTAAAATTTGATATTTTTTTTTAAAAAAAAGGCGCGAAGAGCAAGAGCAAGAAAATTAGACTTTCAAAAGTTTACCATAAGTCCATTTTAATATACGACTATTCACGATTCCCTGACTTAACCCAAATTGTACGGCTGAATAATTTATTGCATAATAACAAGAAATTAAGGAATGTCAAATTATAACAATTACATATACAGTATAAAAATAGACATTTTCAAAGTAATTTTTTTTTTTATCTCTTACCTCCTTTTTCAATTGCCACCATTGGATTCGCGGGTACAATTATTTTGTCTAGTAATCGTTGTTTAAATTCATTTTTGATTCTTTCTTGCAAATATTTAGATTCGCTGAAACCACCAACCAACAATATTAGCGCAACATCGCTACATTTTTCAAGCTGTCCACGAATTAGACGTATAATTTTTCCTATTACGGGATCAAACATTGATTTAACATCATCAAACGTTAATTCTACCGTCCACTCTTCTTCTTCCATATTTTCAAATTCTACTCCCTTGGAATATTGTTTTATAACTGGACATAACTCTTTTTTTTTTTAAAAAAAAAAAAAAATTAATTTTCAAAAAATCAATTAAGAACAAAGATGTAACGTGATTTCTCACCTTTTAAATCCATATCGTAAGGTTGAAAATCCGATTCTTTTCCGGTAAATTGAATTTTAATGCGCCTACAAAACTCTTGTACCATGTACTGTAATTGACTATAGTGATTTGTTCTGACCATACTAAGTGCCGAACTTCCAACTTTTCGACCGATGAATTTGAGAAATTCTTCATCTACAAAACTCCCACCACAAAAATCTCCCTCACGTTCAGTAATTTCGTCTAATTTATTATCTTTCAAAAGTTTCCGTGTTGTCAAATCTACTGTACCACCGCCACAATCAACAATCATAAATGATGCTACGTTCATATAATTTTGATGGTTTAAAAAAAAAATATATAAACCCTTTGGTCAGAAAGTGACGCGAGAGAGATGAAATAATTACTTACAACCAACGCCAAGGTTATGTTCTGTTAATTTATTCATGCAATAAATTGCAGCAGCTTCAGCTATTAAATCAAGTACCAAGTTAATTATCGATCACGTGATATTGCTTACTCCGAGTATTAAATCACGTACGTTCTGTCGTAAATTTCAATTTTCCACTATTCCTCTGGTTGATCAGATCGGCTTTGAATGCGCATTCACGCATAACTTTCATAGCTTCTTGGCCGAATTCAGCCGGAACCTATATAGAGAGGATTTACGATTTAAATTTTCTTATCTTCCCAAAATAAAAGGAAAGAAAAAGGAAATTGTTTTTTTAAAAGAATTGATTACGAAAAACCTACCGTCATTACGATTAACACTTGGTTAAAAAAATCTTTGATAGACCACCGAGTATCAAAAGTTTCTTTCATAACTTTACCTATTTCTCTAAGATAATCTGTTATAGCGGTTTTATGATTAATCCCACTTGGTAAAGGGGGTTTGTTCTCCATTTTACCCAAGTGCAATTTAAATCTTTCTACAGGTTTTTGGTTAGATTGTCTATTTCTCCTAGATGGACGTTCTGCCAACGCGGGCAATCCCCACGATAACAAATTAAATGATTCATCATATTTTAGTACCGTTGGAGTTTTGTAGTAACCTGACACAGACTTCCAAATATCATGTGCAAATATATCATTTGGATTTTTTTTATGAGCATAGGCAAATCCCTATAATAATTTGTTCATTAAAAAAAAAGTTAGGATGAAATGTAATAACTTGGTCTCTTTTCTACTTTAACATATATTATTGACAACTTACAGAATACGTTGTCCCAAAATCTTTTTAATTTTTAATTTATATATATATATAAAGAATTATTATCTGGATAATTGTTTTCAAAAATTTCAAAAATTGTAATAAAACCAACCTATAGCTGCGACCACACGAATTTCGCTTGAATTTGTCATAATTATTAAAAATTGGCAAATAAAAAGAAAAAAAATTATTTTTTGAAAAAAGAAATTCAATTTATATTGATAATGTTGGTTCAATCAACATTTAAATTATAATGGCAAATTTGCATGTTCATCATGTTTTGCCGCCGTGCATCGCGTAACATTGTTTTGTGACAAAATTTACCATAAATGCAACTGTTATTGTTTTTGATCTAGTACATTCTATTCAAGGAACAAAGAACCTCCTTTTTCTTTTCGTTTTTAGTATCATTAATTTCTTTTTGAACAAAATATTGCCGATTGATTTTTAATTTATCGTTAATGATATATATACCTAATTCTTCCTATCTGATAAATAAATAAATCCGAAATTGTTAACGTTAAATGAAAACTTTGAAAAAAATAAAAATAAAAATGACAAATAAAAAGCAAATTTGTAATGCAGAAAACGATAGTTCTCTTAAGCCCATGGAAATTGATGATGACAATGCAGGTTCAACTTCCGCTAAAAATGATGATAACACAACTTCAATTTCAACATCCTCTGCTTCTCATACATCAAATATTTCTTTACTTAATCAACCAAATAGTGATTTGACTTCAAATACTTCAAATGATATGATTATGTTAAGTAAGCTACAAAATTTGGAACAAAAAAACTCGAAGCTTCTCAAAGAATTAGATGAGTCCGAAACTTATGTAGCAAAGTTATTTAAGGACAATCAACGTTTGGAACAAGAAGTCATCCTTGGAAAAAATCAAAATAAAGATTATATTAAAACAATAAATGAATTACGCCAGAAATTATCAGAAAGTAAATATAATGAAGCACAACAAACGATGAATTTACAAGCATTACAAAAGAAATACAAAGATTTACAACAAAATTATAATGATAAAGAGCAAGGATTACAACAAAAATACAATAATGAATTGCAAGGATTACAACAAAATTATAATGATAAAGAGCAAGGATTACAACAAAAATACAATAATGAATTGCAAGGATTACAACAAAATTATAATGATAAAGAGCAAGGATTACGACAAAAATACAATAATGAATTGCAAGGATTACAACAAAAATACAATAATAATTTGCAAGGATTACAAAGAAAATGCAAAGATAAAGACGCACAATTGCAAAGATTACAACAACAATACAATAATAAAGTGATTGAGTTACAAGAATCGCTTAACGATCAAATTAAGGCTCTACTAGAATCAAATCAAGTAAAAGATCATTTTGAAAAATGTTGTAATGAATTAAAACAGCATTTAGAAGAAAAAGAAACTCGAATTAAATCATTAAAACAAAGGAACGCTGAACTTGAGAACGAAGCAGCAAAATATCAATCCGCTCTTGGAGTTGTAAAAAACTTTAGAATGAGCGATGATGATAAAAATCATAATGTTCAACTTAACCAAGATATTTTATCATTACAAGACAAAATTGATGATTATGTAACAAATTTAGTAAAATCCAAAGTTGACGTTAAAATTGAAAAAATTACGACGAATCTTGTACCACGATACGAATGTCAAACCAAGATCGACTTGAAAAAACCCGATAAGCTATTTATTAAGGCTGTATTGCAACGTTACGTGTTAGACAGAATTTTGGAGTTTGCTGAAAATTACTTTGATAATTCGAATGATAGATCAATGGATTCTCGTTATCTTGAATCGGATATCGTTAAAAAAACGAATGAATTACATGAAGTAATGGAAACGCTTGCTAGTACTCGTGACGGAACTGATGAAGTAACAAGAGTCACCCCTATAAAATTACGCCAACTAATATATTCTGCTCTTGGGATGAGAGGTCTTGGAGATTTAATTGATTCAGGTCATTCATTTATACATATATCTATCCAAAAGTATTCGGAACAACTTAATACCTCAATGAACAAATATCGTGTTGTAAAAGATCCTAAAAAGAAAGAATATATTGATGGATTAGCTAAAACTCTTATTCGAGAGATTTTTCGAATTTTTTACTTTCGATTAAAAGTTCAAGAACCAGTTGCTCAATATTATTGGTTTAAATGTGGCGATAAAGTTAGTAAAATTTCAATGAAATTAAGTTGTGAAGACGATGAAATCGATGATCTGGTGGTTGATTTATGTACTTTTCCAATTATCGGGCAAGGTATAAATTTGAACAAAATAAGCCAAATATTTACTCCCGCAAAAGTTTTCGCGCGCCATGTTCCTAAATCAAGTTTTGCGACTAGATTCATGAATATGATTTCCGGAGATGGGAAACCAATATCATCAGTTAAACCAAATGATAGTTCTCCCGAGCAATCCACAACTCACATCCGAACGAAAACAAATTATTATGATTCAGAAGATGGAAAATCAAAATTATCGAACAACAATTCAAATGATAATTCCGCCGAGAAAAAGGAACAAACTCCAGATATTAGTACTAAAGAAAGTGAAAAAAAATTAAGTACACAAGAAAATGCAAAACTTTATAGCGAACTTGATACAAACTTAAGTGTTGGAAGTGATACAATCGTAAGAGGCAAAGGCGAAACAATCGTAAAAAGCGGAAGGGATACAAAAGAAAGGGACGAAAATGATACAAACGAAAGAGATGAAAGTCGTACAAACGAAAGAGGTGTAAGTCGTACAAACGAAAAAGATGGAAATGATATAAACGAAAGAAGTGGAAATTGTACAAGTGAAAGAGATGAAAGTGATAAAATAGGTGGAAATTATACAAACGAAAAAAGTGAAAATGAAACGAACGAAAAATATGAAAGTGGCAAAAACGATAATGATAAAAAAGATGAAAGTGGTACAAGTGAAAGATGCGAAAATCTTACACAAGGAGGTGGTGGAAATCATACGAGTGAAATGGACAGAAATTATATACAAGGAAGAGATGAAAATAATACGAGTAATAGGGACGGAAAGTATACACAAGGAGGAGATGGAAATCATATGAGTGAAAGGGACGGGAATTATACACAAAGAAGAGATACACAAGGAGGTGGTGGAAATAATACGAATGAAATGGACAAAAATTATACACAAAGAGATGGAAATCATACGATTGAAAGGGACGGGAATTATACACAAAGAGATACACAAGGAGGTGGTGGAAATAATACGAATGAAATGGACAAAAATTATACACAAAGAGATGGAAATCATACGAGTGAAAGGGACGGAAATTATACACAAGGAAGTGGAAGTCATGCATTCGAAATGGATGGTTATACACAAGGAAGTGGAAGTCATACATTCGAAAGGGACGGAAATTATACACAACGAAGAGATGGAAATCATACGAGTGAAAGGGACGGAAATTTTACACAAGTGAGTGGAAGTCATGCATTCGAAAGGGATGGTTATACACAAGGAAGTGGAAGTCATACATTCGAAAGGGACGGAAATTATACACAACGAAGAGATGGAAATCATACGAGTGAAAGGGACGGAAATTTTACACAAGTGAGTGGAAGTCATGCATTCGAAAGGGATGGTTATACACAAGGAAGTGGAAGTCATACATTCGAAAGGGACGGAAATTATTTTGCACAAGGAAACCATACGAGTGATAGGGTCGGAAATGTTACACAAAGTGGAAGTCATACATTCGAAAGGGACGGAAATTATACACAAAGAAGTGTAAGTCATACATTCGAAAGAGACGGAAATTTTTATATACAAGGAAGTAGTGGAAATGCTACAAGCGAAAGAAGCAGTACATACAAAAGAGGTGGAATTGATACAAACGATATAGACGGAAACGGTTCAAAAAAACGGCATTTATTTTAGCAAATAATTCGTTCTTCTTAATTAAGCATTCAAACGGTCACGATATTATTGATTATTTTCATTATATTAATATGTTTACTTTATACATTTATTGTTATTTTATTTTTTTTTAAAGAGCAATTTAAGATTATAAATAAAATTTTTTTCTTTTTAAAAACTCAATAAACCAACTCTTTATTCTTCCATTGGTAAGTTCGCTAGTTCACTTTAACTTTAACGGGACTAGTTATAAAATTGAAAGATGATGTTTATCTACTGCGACGGAAACTTGAGAGTACAAAAGGTATGCTCTTGCTAGAGAACTGCATTCTTTGTAATTGAACTTTTATTTAATCACGATAATTTTATAAAAACTTATAAAATTTATTTTTATTTATTCATTATAAAATGTTAAGCTAATACTAAATATAATAGAAAAAAACGTTCTCTCTTTCTTTAGATATCTAATTCAAATGTCGTATTGTAACTTTCACCGGTTAACAAATTAAAAGCAGCAGCGTCAATTTCAAGTTCACCAAAGTTTAAGACCATGAAAATAGGTCTTATACTAAATGTTACGGGTATATCAATAGACCATTTACCAAGTAAGTTGATATGAGGCGAATCAAAAAAATTTACGTCGTCCTTGTCAGTGGTAAATAAATCTAAACCGATTTTACTTTGTAAAATAGAAGCTGGACGGAATACTCGGGTAACTACTTCATCAACGGAAATTTCATCTCCACGTTTTGCCAATATTGAAAATTCAATAACAATATCACCCGGAAGTTTCTGATTTGGTGGATCACCTGGTTCCCACATGCGGGCAACGTCAGTTCCTAGTGTGGATCAAAAAGAAAGAAGGTGTTTAATAAAATTATAAAATTGCATAAATACGCGTGACCTAATTACCATAAGTCCATTTCAATACACGAGTAGCAATGACGTCTTGCTTCAATCCATAATGAACGGCTATAAATTAAAGGAATTCTTAATAAAAAGAATATATATATATAATAACCAATAAACAATAAAATCAAATTTACCTCCTTTAACAATTGCTGTTATTGGATTGCTAGGTACAGATATGTTCCTCACTCTTTGCTTGAATTCTTGTTTGACTCTGACCTGTAAATATTTAGACTCGCTGAATCCACCGACTAATAATATAGCCGAAACATAATCATTGTATTCGTCAAGCTGTTGACGAATTAAACCTAAAATCTTTTTTACTACCGGATCAAACATGTTTTTAACGTCTTCAAATTTCAGTTCAACCACCCATTCACTTTCTTCCAATTCGTCGCGATGGGAACCTCTTATATACTGCTTTGCCACTGGACAAAGTTCTTGTTTATAATAAAAAAAAGAAAAAATTTTAGTATTACAAATCCACCACAATCAAGAAAATGATATGATAGTTACCTTCCAAATCCAAATCAAATGGTTTAAAATCTTTGCTTTCTCCTGTGAACGGAATTTTGACACGCCTAGAAAATTCTTGTACCATATATTGGAATTGATTATAATGCTTCTCTCTAATTAGATTAATGGCCGATTGACCGATTTTGGATCCAAGAAACTTAATGAATTCTTCATCAACAAAAATCCCACCACAATAATCGCCTTTGCTTATCGTTTTTTCACCAAGTCTTTTACCCGGCAAGAGTTTTCGAGTTGTCAAATCAACGGTACCACCGCCACAATCAACCACCATATATGTTGCTGGAAAAGGCATAATGGATAAGTAAATCGAAATATAATATTTTTACAATTAATATGCGGGTGTGTATACTTACAACCAGTACGGATGTTAAGTTCTTTTAGGTTCTTCATACATTGGATGGCTGCAGCTTCGGCTATTTACAAATCAGTTGTAAGTCACGTGTTAAAGTACAAATCAAAGTTTCATACTTACGTTCTTCTATAAATTTTAAATTCGGAGTGTCCGGATCTTTAATTAGTTCGGCAGCGAACGCACAATCACGCAAAGTTCGCACAGCTTTAGTTCCGAATTCAGCCGGAATCTATCAAATCATTGTAAGGATCAAACGTAAATTGGCAAAAATTCAAGAGAAAATTTTAATACCGTCATAATAATCAAAACTTGTGTATAAAAATCGACTTCTGGCCATCGATTTCTTAAAGTATCTTTTATCAGATTGCTCATTTTTCTAATATAATCTTCAATAGCCTTTTTATAATCTAAACCATCTGGTAGATAAGGAGTAAATGTAATATCTTCTTCTCGTATTTCACCTAAACATAACTTGAATCTTTCCGCAGGTCTCGTTTTTGAAGGTGCCTTTGTCTTGCTTGGTTTTTCAGCTAATGCAGGGTATCCCCAAGATATCACATTAAATGAATCATCGTATTTTAACGTTGTGGGATGTTTAAATTGTCCAATGGATTCATCCCATTCATCGTGTACGATTATATTTTTACTAGAAAAATGAGCATAAGCGAAACCCTACGTATTATTATTAATTGCAGAAAGTTAATAAGAAACTTTAAAAATATTTTATTTAATATTGAATGAATTATATCTTACCGAAAAGGTAGTCCCAAAATCTTGTAAAAATGAAAAGTACAACTTTTAGAATATTTTTAAATATGATCTTTTTAAATATTTACCATAGTGAACATACCTATGGCAGCGACTACACGCAGTGCTTTGTTATTCATTATGTTTGATAAAAGAAACTTATTTTTTTTAAAAAAAAAAAAAATTCTTTAGGGTAAAAAGATTTGATTTATATATAGATAGATATTTTTGTTTCCCAAATTTAGGTTTGTTTTGATACATTCTAAACGTCTGTGTAAGAATTACATAAAAATTCTCACGTACGTTTTTCGAAATGGCAACTAAAATTATGTCACTGTTTCTATCCTGGCTGTGCAACCCCTCAAAAGCGCGTTAGCATGTGCCAAATTCTCACACGGTAAATATTTGTAATAAAACATTCGGACCTGTTCTGACGCAATTTAATTTTTTCGAATAATATTTTATTATTGTTGATATTGTTGATTCAAAAAAATGAAAAGTTTCTGAAATACTGTATCTTCACGAAAAGATTTTGACAAAGATGTGATGATGTTCCTGTATAATTATTTTCTTTAAGTCCCTACTCTCCCTACGCGTTATTATCTTGAATTTAATCATTCGAGAATTTCAAGCATCTCTTATTCTTATAACGGTCTTTAAAATTCTTGACAACTAAAAATTCGCGAGACATCTGCGCCACTATTATTATGTAATGGTAGCCCTCAACAGGTTGGCTAATATTATTTTTCCGAAAATCAGGGATTTGGTGCGACATGCCACTCATGATTATTAATTGATGTTATTGTTGATATATAAAGAACTTTTCTTTCTTATTTTAGGAATGAATTTCGTCTTAACCGTTTATTCAATTGTGTAACCGACTTAAAAGTCTAAAAAATAAGATTTCCCCCTTTTTCCTGTTTTTTTATATTATCTCTCTGAGAGTCAGTTTTCATTTCTAACTATTTCGTAACCTTTGAATAATAAATAATAATATTCCAATTTCAAGACAACCCGAATGGCATCACAAAATTTTGATGATCCTGAAGAATTCGAAAACACATCCAAATCAACGAACGTTGAAAGACAAAGAAAATGTGAACAAAATGCCGAAATACAAAAACTTATTGACGAAAATAATTCTTTTGAAGCAAAGTATAAGAAATTGGAGCAACAATTCAATCAAAATAAAGAATACTTTGAATCACGTTGCAATGAATTAGAACAAAAATTAAAGGATGAGAGATCTCAAATTCTATCATTGGAAAAAAGGAATGGTGAACTAGAAAAAGAAGCATCAAATTATCAATCCGCTCTTGGAGTTGCAACGTCTTTTAATTTAAGTGATGAGGATCAAAATCACACGGTTCGACTTAACCAAGATATTTTAGCGTTACATGATACTTTAGAAAATTACGTTACGAATCTGAAACCTAAAATAAACGTTGATATAAAAGTAGCGAAACAAATTTTACGTAAATATAAATGTCAAACAGAGATTTCCGATAAGGATCCAAACAAACCAGTTATCAAGGCCGCCTTACAACGTCACGTACTCGAAGAGATAATTAAACAGGCGGATTTCTATTTTACTCGTTCCAATATGGAACACTACCTGGAATCAGAGATTGTCTCGAAGACTGTTGAATTAACAAATTTAATGGAAAAATTTTATAAGAACCGTCTCGGTGATGATAGAGTAACGCGTCATACGCCGATAAAGCTGCGTCAGCAAGTCTACTCCGCGCTTGGTACTCGAGGATTTAATGATATCACTTCTTCGAATGGAACTTCTAGTCATTCTAAGCATGACTTTATTTACATTATCTCGAAAAAAATCAATAAGATGATGAATAAGGTTCGCGTAATTAAAGATGTTGAGAAGAGAAGATATGTTGACGCACTGGCAGGAGATTTGGTTCGAGATGTCGTTAGAATTTTTTATTTTCGTTTAAAAATTCAAGAACCAATGGCTCAATATCTTTGGTATGAAAATAACGAAAGGATCAATAAATCTACCATGAAAAGTAGTTGGGATGATGATGATGATATTGATGATATGGTTGTTGAGGTTTGTTCATTCCCGCTAATTTTTAAACCGGATGGTTTTAAGGTTTACACACCCGCGAAGGTTTACGCATGTCATATTAGAAAACAAAGTGTTAGGGAAAAATTCTTTAATGCAAGTAAGTCCATTGGACATAAATTAACAAGGTTTTATTCTGGAGGTGAAAATTCAAATTTATCAATTGATTCAGTGAATACTTATGATTATGATACCGATCAAATTGACTCTGATGCCGAAACGTCAAATAATGAAGTTATTTAAATAAAGAATTCTACGCCATAACTACGTTACATTTTATGTGGGGGGTTTTTTTTAATTTAATATGATGTATTTTGTCTTGAACAATAAATATTGAAATCTATAGTTTGCGATTTTTTAGAGAAATTTCCGTTCTGTTTATTTTTTTGCGAAATATTTGGGATATGTGAGGTCATAATGATCCAATTCATATGTTTATTTTTTTGTATCATTATATTACTACAATCTCGTAAAAATGACTGAGAAATTGCTTTCGTAAATAATACAATTTTATGTGATTCACGTGCATCAAAAGTATCAATCTGAACATCTTTATTTTCATTTTATAAGGATATTACACATTCACAAATCATTAAATATTAGATATTAATTTATTTCTAAAAGGTTAAATAGTAACTTCAGAAATTGATTCCTTAAAAAATCATCATTCATTTAATAAGCAAAGTAGTTATAGAAATATCAATACAAATTAATAAAATTGAAGATTTACCTCCATATAATTAATTGACTTTGTTATGAATTTTTCGATTCTGTATGTGAATGATTAAACACTCTTTAAGTATATATATAGTTCATGATTTCATTTTTCTAATCTTAGTAACATTTTGATAAGAAAGACCAATATAATTTGAATCTATCAAACAGATCATTATAGAAAAATAAAAAAAATATCTAATAAAATTTAATATAAAATTTTAAAGTTACTTTATAATGGCTTGACATTATCAATAAAAAAATGATTTTAATTTGTAAAATTTTTTTATTTTATTAAAAAACATCATATTTAACTTATAAGTAAAAAATTTTTTTTTTCTTTTTTTACTATAAAAAACTTATATTTGAAATTTATTATTAATAAAAGTTTTATTTCTACAAAAAAAGAAATTTTAATAAAGTTTATATAATACAGCCAGCATTAACATTACTTTTACTAACATGAAGAAATTAAAAAAATACTCATATAATAACTATATGACAAATAGTTCGTAACTAAAGATGGCGCTGCAACTAGTTACAACTATGTGATGCTTATTTGTCACTGGTTGCGACTAGTTGCAACTCAATTTTATTAATATTGTAACTAGTTGCAACCCTGTGATGCTTATTTGTCACCAATTGCAACCAGTTGCAATGTCATCTTTATTCATAACAAATAATAATTTTCACTGAAAATTCTAAGTCCTTAGAATAAATAGTAAAAACTAAAGGTAGAGGGTATAATATCAATAACAAATATATATATCACATAATCTGTGTACATACACCCTATGTTAACTTAGAGATTTTCTAATATATAAATATAAAATTTTTAATATAAAATAAAAAGTAATAAATATATTTATTTTTTTTAATATCATCAATTAATTGCATTTTATAATGATAAAGATAAGTAAAGTATATAAAATTTATAGTAAAATAATCAAGTTAAATTCATACTAAAATTTAAATAAAATTATAATTAATAATATTATATAAAATATTTAAAGTATTTAAATTTTTTCTTTGAAATATCAAAATTAAAAACTCT